TGCGCCGATTCCCCGAAAAAAAAGTTCAATTGTATTATACGGTTCAATTGTAATTAGCCCCCCCCAGTAGCTACCAGCTACCGTAGCTGGCCCCCACACTGAAATGTGGGCCACACGTGGCAACCGTGTGGCGACCAGCCCTGCTTCTTGGTTCCAAATTCTTGTTCCAAATTCTTGGTGTTCCAAATTCTTGGTGTTCCAAATTCTTGGTGTTCCAAATTCTTGGTTCCAAATTCTTGGTTCCAAATTCTTGGTTCCAAATTCTTGGTTCCAATTCTCTTCTTGGTTCCAAATTCTTGGTTCCAAATTCTTGGTTCCAAATTCTTGGTTCCAAATTCTTGGTTCCAAATTCTTGGTTCCAAATTCTTGGTTCCAAATTCTTGGTTCCAAATTCTTGGTTCCAAATTCTTGGTTCCAAATTCTTGGTTCCAAATTCTTGGTTCCAAATTCTTGGTTCCAAATTCTTGGTTCCAAATTCTTGGTTCCAAATTCTTGGTTCCAAATTCTTGGTTCCAAATTCTTGGTTCCAAATTCTTGGTTCCAAATTCTTGGTTCCAAATTCTTGGTTCCAAATTCTTGGTTCCAAATTCTTGGTTCCAAATTCTTGGTTCCAAATTCTTGGTTCCAAATTCTTGGTTCCGAATTAAATGGCAAAAACACCAGGAAAATTGCTCCCGGCGGGGTTTGAACCCGCGATCCCGGGCTCATAAGACCCGTGCCTTAACCACTAGGCCACGAGAGCTCGAAATTGGAGCAAAAAAAAAAGAAATTGGAGGGGATTTTTTTGTCCCAGTTTTTGAGCATGTTTTCACCCCTGCGCCCTGGCACGGCAGGGCTGGTTAGCCACAACTTGCCATATTGTGGCCCATTTAGCCACAACTTTAGCCACAATGTTGTGGCTAAATTGTGGCTAAATGTGCAAAAATTTTGATCGAAAAAAAGACCACCCAAAACACGCTAAACACCGTTTTTTGTGTGGATTTTCGTGTTTTTGGATAGTTTTTACACGTGTGAATTTTTTTTGTGTCGATAATGGGGGAGAGGATTTTTACTATAGCGGACTTTTTTCCCACGAAAATGGGGGGGGGGGGGAGGGACCTACCCACCCCAGGCCCCAAAAACGTCTCTATACGCTGGTTGACAGCTGCACCATCAACACAGCGTGTCCGACTCGTCGATACCGGCTCCTGATGACTCGCGGCGGCACCTGCCGAGCTGCCACGACTTGATCGACGCACTTTCCAAAAAATTCCAAATCCTCGAAATTTTGGCTATTTGTACTCATCCATTTCCCAAAGAATTCCTGAGTCCAAAAACTGTTTTCCAGGCAAGTCCCCTGGGAAACCGACTTAGAGATTTTCGGCATAGCTGTCAGCCACAAGGTAGCCACTAGTGGCTAATTGGGAGCCACAAAGTAGCCACAAACCTTGTGGCTACCTTTGTGGCTAATTATGCAAAATTTTGGTACCCAGGAAAACCACGTGAAACTAGCTTTTCCGGCCAGAAAATTGCATCTAAAACACAATTTCTGACGATTTTGACAGGTTTTTGAGCCAGAATTTGGATAAGCTGCTTCGCCCTGGCCTCGGTATCCTCAGCCGCGAGTCAGCGGCAACGTTGGCAACTCTATCAGTAATTTCGTACAACACCGAAGCAATTCAAGGCTTGAAAAGTTCAGAAAACAACAACAAACTGCTGCATCGTGCCAACACGGTCGCAAAACTAGTGCTAATGCCATAATTCTAGTACATTTTGAGTCTGAGAGTGCACCGGAGGAAGACGAACCCGTCGAAAGCGAAGTTGATAGTTCAGACAGCAGTCAGTACGAAGCCGCCAATGCTTCTGTTGACAGGTTTTGGAGCAGACAAGGAATCAATTTAGTTCAAAGGGTCTCTTGTCCGCAAACCCGTTTCAGTTGCGGGGTTCATGTCTCCAACTTTTCCTGCCAAAGGACCAAACCACGCAGGTGGTGACAACTGTGGTCTAAGGTTACTAGTAAACGACGACAAAGCACGCTGATATTCTGGGATACGCAGGAGGACAGCAACGACCCAGCAAACGGCAGAGCATTTCACAATTACGACAGCTCTTCTACTCGGTGTGCAAGCTACCCCGTCACCAGCGAGTTTGCTTGCTTGCTTGCAAAGTGCGCAGTGCGCGGCCGTTGAGCGCAACTACACGGCAGCAGGCATAGTACAGCAGGAGCACACTGACAGTGTGACTGACTCCCTGTAACAGCTGTCACTGAGTGGCACTGTTACACTTGTTGCAATCAATGTCCGAAAGAGTTCAAGAAGGAGCCAAGAAAAGTATCCGAGAAAAGTAGCGGGGGCAATCTCTCACACGTCTTGAAAATTCCTCGCGGGCTCCTGTAGCACCCCAGCCAGGGCACAAGGGAAATGGCTTCTGGTGGCTGACTTGCCGACAATACCAGTCCCAGCCTGCCGGGCAGCACGGGCCGCAGGCCCGCGGCAGGGAGCTCAAGCTCAGTCACCATCCGCCAGCTCCTGACTATTATCAGACGGCTGACACTTTTCTTTGCTAGCATCATTCAAATCTGATTGGCTGCGGCGGTACTTGCCGCTCTCTCCCACTCCTCCTCTGGGGTCAGTCAAGAGGCTCGGAGAGCGCCGGTCGCTGGTTGAGAGGCCCTCTCAGAGGGTTTTAGGATAGAAATGGTAAGCGCTTTGCAAGTAGAACGGGTCTGTCACTCTCGCCAACCTGAATTATGCACGATTCTGTGTGCATAATGCCTACTACTACTTTAGTAGCAGTAGAGTTTTAGTAAACCGTTTACCAATGGAACCCTAGGGTGCGCAACCAGGATGCCGAGCTCAGGGTGAAGCAGCTCACCAAAATGCTGGCCCAAAAACCTGTCAAAATCATCAGAAACTGTGCTTCAGATGCATTTTCTGGCCGAAAAAGCTAGTTCCACGCGGTTTTCCGTGATACCAAAATTTTGCATAATTAGCCACAAAGGTAGCCACAAGGATATCGGCAAAGATGCGTTCAAAGCTTTCTCGCGCTCGCGAGGCTCTCGCAGTGGGTCACATGTCGGCGTCAGAGTTGGAGTCACTGGGCGGACGGCTGATGCACGCGTCGTCTGTCACGGGGGTTTTTCTGGGGGAATTTTATTTTGTCTTAAAATTCCTTCGTCGTTTGACGAACTCCCTGAATCGTGGGGAGCGGAACATTGATTCGCGTGTCCAGGTTTCAGAGTCGGTGAAGGGATTGCTTTTGAGCTGGATTGGTCGCGTGTTCGATCGGCAGAGACTGCCGGACAAACATGTGAGTGCGAAACCGCGCGTCACAGTGTTTGTTGATGCCAGCCTTCAAGGTTGGGGGGGCGTGCTCGTGGACGAGCAGACCAACGCGGTGGAAATCGTGGGTTCCAGATGGTCGGAAACCGAAAGCTTCCACATAAACGAATTGGAGGCGCTCGCTTTTGAGCGTTCAGTGAAGGCGTTGTTGCTTATGCGCAGAGGCGCTGTGGTCACGGTGGTCGTTGACAACACGACGGTCCACGGTGTTGCTCGGAAAGGCTGTTCTTTGGCATCGAAAATCTTGAATGATGCCGTTGTTCGTGCTTTAGTTTTCTTGCGTCAATTGGATGCTGTTTTCTCTATTCGTTGGGTGAAGAGCGCTGATAATCCTGCTGACCTTCCGTCACGGGTGCCGGTAACGACTCTCACTGATGATAATTTTGTTGAGATTAAACGAGCGGTCGGGAGTTTCTTGACTGGCGGAATGGGGTAGGTGGTGACCTCGCAGTAGCCATCTTCTCTCACTCTCTAAGGCCTCTGCGGGGTTTACCCCATCGCTAGTAATGCCACTGCTCCTCTTTCTACCTTTCTTGGTTCAAAGTGACAAGTGCAAGGTGCCGAAGTAGAATTCTCCCGATTCATCGAGGGAATCCTTGAGGCACCTAAACGTACAGGGTACTTGGGTTGTTTGGGCAAATCAATTTGCTTTCCCACCCGCCCACCCTTGATTGACATGGTTTTGGAGCTTAATTATGTGTTGACCCTTTCGCTTCGTGTCTTGCTTACTTTTCTAGCTTGCACCAAGTAGTCCGTTGCTTGCAACGAGTGCCGGGGTAAGGCCCGCCCGCCATCCCCCGTGACCTCGCAGTAGCCATCTTCTCTCACCTCTAAGGCCTCTGCGGGGTTTACCCCATCGCTAGTAATGCCACTGCTCCTCTTTCTACCTTTCTTGGTTCAAAGTGACAAGTGCAAGGTGCCGAAGTAGAATTCCTGGCCGAAAAAGCTAGTTCCACGCGGTTTTCCGTGATACCAAAATTTTGCATAATTAGCCACAAAGGTAGCCACAAGGTTTGTGGCTACTTTGTGGCTAAATGGGGCCACAATGTGGCAACCTTGTGGCTGACAGCTATGTTTTCGGACAACTTGCACCAAGAGAATCTTGGTGCAAGTTCCGAGCTGGCCGACGGTAGTGGACGGAGTTTCCGAGCTAGCGGACGGTGGCGGACGGAGTATCCGAGCGCTACCGTCCGCTAGCTCGGATACTCCGTCCGCTACCGTCCGCTAGCTCGGATACTCCGTCCGCTACCGTCCGCTAGCTCGGATACTCCGTCCGCTACCGTCCGCTAGCTCGGATACTCCGTCCGCCACCGTCCGCTCGCTCGGATACTCCGTCCGCTACCGTCCGCTAGCTCGGATACTCCGTCCGCTACCGTCCGCTCGCTCGGATACTCCGTCCGCTACCGTCCGCTAGCTCGGATACTCCGTCCGCTACCGTCCGCTAGCTCGGATACTCCGTCCGCTACCGTCCGCTAGCTCGGATACTCCGTCCGCCACCGTCCGCTAGCTCGGATACTCCGTCCGCTACCGTCCGCTAGCTCGGATACTCCGTCCGCTACCGTCCGCTAGCTCGGATACTCCGTCCGCTACCGTCCGCTAGCTCGGATACTCCGTCCGCTACCGTCCGCTCGCTCGGATACTCCGTCCGCTACCGTCCGCTAGCTCGGATACTCCGTCCGCTACCGTCCGCTAGCTCGGATACTCCGTCCGCTACCGTCCGCTAGCTCGGATACTCCGTCCGCTACCGTCCGCTAGCTCGGATACTCCGTCCGCTACCGTCCGCTAGCTCGGATACTCCGTCCGCTACCGTCCGCTAGCTCGGATACTCCGTCCGCTACCGTCCGCTAGCTCGGATACTCCGTCCGCTACCGTCCGCTAGCTCGGATACTCCGTCCGCTACCGTCCGCTAGCTCGGATACTCCGTCCGCTACCGTCCGCTAGCTCGGATACTCCGTCCGCTACCGTCCGCTCGCTCGGATACTCCGTCCGCTACCGTCCGCTAGCTCGGATACTCCGTCCGCTACCGTCCGCTAGCTCGGATACTCCGTCCGCTACCGTCCGCTAGCTCGGATACTCCGTCCGCTACCGTCCGCTAGCTCGGATACTCCGTCCGCTACCGTCCGCTAGCTCGGATACTCCGTCCGCTACCGTCCGCTCGCTCGGATACTCCGTCCGCTACCGTCCGCTAGCTCGGATACTCCGTCCGCTACCGTCCGCTAGCTCGGATACTCCGTCCGCTACCGTCCGCTAGCTCGGATACTCCGTCCGCTACCGTCCGCTAGCTCGGATACTCCGTCCGCTACCGTCCGCTAGCTCGGATACTCCGTCCGCTACCGTCCGCTCGCTCGGATACTCCGTCCGCTACCGTCCGCTAGCTCGGATACTCCGTCCGCTACCGTCCGCTAGCTCGGATACTCCGTCC